CCCCCCCCGGCCCTCCCACGAATTCTTCAATTTCCCTGGATGAAGTGTGATTTCGAGCCAGGCACGGGATCGGCGCTATTGGACCGACCCGGATCGGGCGGGTCGCTCGACGATCGAGTTTCCTGTTGGGTGCGGACGAATGCGCTGTCAGAGGGATTTTCTCAGGCCGACTAGAAAAAAAGACACCTTTCGTCAGCGCTCAACGCGATCGCGTCATTCAATGACGTCGCTCTCGGGCAAGCAGCTGTCAGCGGAACGGAGTGAGAGCATCGAACAACCTGACACTAATGTGACGTCATGGGATGGCTGAAAGCGTCAGCAGACACGCGAAGGAAGACGTATAGAGGCCTAATCGGGCCGGCTTGATAGGCCCGACGCGACCCGCGGGGTCCGATAGGGCCACGATTCGGATCGGGCCGGGGTCGAAAACGCGATCCGTGCAGGGCTCCGGATGCGCCAAATTATGAGCTTTTCCAATATCAAAATGAGAGTTGTTGCTCTCTGTTTTCCGGGTATTTTTTTAAAATTTTGTTTATTAATAATTTCATGCGTGTCTTTCATAGAAAGTTATATAGAGATCCCAAAAACGATGTTTCAACGTCTTGATTTCCTTCAAAGGAAAAAGAAAGGCAAGGAGGTCCAATGGACGTCCGTTTATTTTACTCCATTTTGTCACAAAAATACTTTGCCCAGGTCAGAGTTAAAAGTTTCGAGGACGAGAGGCCTTTACATTTCAGGGCGCTTTAAAATTATACGGCAAAGTAGAAAGTCATGAAAGCAAAAGTCACGACCGTCAGAAATAATAGATAAACTAGAAAATGAAGGAATGCATGAAACGCAATGTAAAGCTTTGGCATAATGGTAAGGAATGGTTAAAAAAAAAAAAAATTAAACGGGTCGGTACGCGCTATGCAGTAAATTGCAGGATCCAGGAGGTTCACGTGATGCATTTATTGCTGCACAGTTGCTACACAGTTGCTACACATCTTTCGCCCTGCTACATCCCCGTCCATCAGAGCGTGGAGGTCAGGCGCAGGGCATTCAGCATTCATGCCGGCTTGGAGCTTTTAAGCGAACTGGATCTGTGGAATCACGAGGATTCGTGTTTATCGGGACCTTTTTGATATGAAAGATTACGAGCTCGTATTTACACTCGACCGCGAGGCAATCATGCACCTAAA